TAACTCCGGATGAAGTTCTGCAGTTTCTGGAGTTGTTCTGTCTGATATACATGCGTAAGGATGGGTTTACCATTCTATGGGCTTTGGTATTGCAGGATATGTCGGCGGTTTCGTTGGAGTTTCCTGTTGTTTTCCATTTGAACTAGGTAGGATCGGGGTTACTTGAGGCATTCTATTTTTCCCTTTCTGGACCATGTTTTGCCATCGTGAATGCGTACATGATCCGCAAATTCAAAGAATGCAGTTGGCGATGATTTTTGTTAGGCTTCTTTTCAGCACTACTTTTGTACATGGGTCTGGCTATCATTGGGAGCAATTTTCTTTGCTCCCGTTTCAGGAGTTTGGTTACAGGTGAAGTTATATTGTCTTTCCCAGGTGTAGTACGTAGATTAAGTAATGCATGATATTTATCATCGCTGCTTTTTTTGAGCACTTGAGTAGAGTCTTCTTCACTGTTTGAATTGCTCTCTCTACCAGACCATTGCATTGAACTTATTCTGGCCTACTGGTTTCATGTTTAAAATCCCACTTTGCAGAAAACCTCTTGAATTCTACAGATGTAAATTCGGGACCTCTCCAGAACTACAGTCTGTAGGTTCAGGCACAGGAGCTAATTATGTTTAATTGAGTCATGCGTGCAAGTTCTTGCGTAAGTTTTCTTTAGAGTGCAAAAGGTATTTTTCTAGGAGGTTTGATGATTGTTTTACATTAGTATCCACCTTTATGTGGGTAAGTCCATGTTATGTACCTATTTCGTCAAAGTATTCTTTAAATTCCGAGGCAGAATCTGATTCTTTGTCTGAAATGATGTGGAATCTCTGAATGAGATTTAAAATTGAACTTGTTTTTAGACCGAGTAAAGGGCAGGCGTCAGAGTCAGCTGCTATGAATTTGACATCATATTTTGTGTTTCTGTGTCTAATCTGGATTGTATACTTTCCAAGAACCGGCATGAGATTTTCATTATACGCAGCAAAATGGTTGATTTTAATTTAGGAGTGTCTTTAAGTTATAGTGGGTCAGCCAATTTGTATTGGTTATAAATAGAAATAAAAACTGACCCTCTACAATTTTTGCAATATCAAATGTAGCAAAGACAACAACAAGAGAAATAATCAAGTAGAAGAAATTGTGAATTTGTTCAACTATAAATATTTTTTATAAACACAACAAATACATAATATGTAGCGCAAAAGTTGATAAACACAATAGAGTTCTTTGGTGTGTGTTACTGAAAGAATTTGAGTTACTGTACCGTACGTGTGAAAATGAGAATGTGTAGTTAGCTATATTTGTTTTTATAGGAAAATTAAACAGTTGTTTTTGTTTTTGTATTAAATAGAAAAAAGTATTGTTCTTGACTCACTGATTGTTATAGAGTTATCGCTCATTAACCAGAGATTCTTCTTGTGGAATAGAATATTTTGTGGGAGTGAGCGTTCAGCCTGGAAATGGTTGATAAGGTTTGTTGTATTGAAGTTAAAGTTCGTCTCCTTTGCTGTGTTGATTTCCAATGAAGTCAAGTGAATTGGTTCAATATTTTAAGTGCCCACTGACCAAGTTGCGTCGAAGTTTCGTTTTTATTAGTTCTCTTGGTCACGTGGGGAGGCTCGTGAACATGTTTACATTTTATGGCGTCAACTAGAGGTCAAAATTTGGGTCGGTACCTTCGGACGTAGTTGACGACATCTAATTAATATTTTACAACCAATCAAAATACATCAGTTGTTATATTTGGTTGGGAGCCTCTATGTGTTTAACTTGCACAAAATTTAAGATTTAAAAAAAATGTAGGAATCTGATTCTACAATAAGAGTGTTAGCGTACTCCCAAAAACAAGTTCTGCTGTAGTGCATCCTAAGTCCTCTTTGACTACATTTCTTAATGACAGTAAAATCAGTGATAGGTTTTCCAGCCAAGTCCTGGAGTCATCACTTGCTGCTAGTGCTGCCTTAAGTTGCCTATGAAATCGTTCCACAAGGCCGTTTGCACATGGATGGTAGGCGGTTGTAGAAATGTGCTTTACGCCTAACAAGTTTATAAATTCATTGAAAAGGACTGACTGGAACTGTGAACCTCTATCAGTGGTTATTATTGAAGGACAACCAAAGATAGAGATCCACTCTAAGAATGCACCTGGAAATCGTTTCTGCTGAAATACTTTTTAAAGGAACGGCTACAGGCCAACGAGTGAAACGATCGATTATTGTTAATAAGTATTGGTACCCATCAATGTCGTTGCAAAGGGCCCACTAAGTCAACGTGAATGTGGGTGAACCATCAGGCTTAGAGAATGTACCAGGCGGAGACTTGGTATGCCGTTGTATTTTAGTTTGCTGGCATTTTAAACAAGTCTGTGTCCAGTGTTTTATGTCACTGGACATTTTTGGCCAAACGAAACGATCTTAGTAGTCGCTCTTCGACCAGGATGCGACAGAGAATGGAAATGTTCGAATACTTTTTTTCGCAAAGAAGGTGCTACATAGGGCCTAAAGTATCCTGTGCTTACATCACAATAGACAGTGGTGTTACCAAATGAAACAGGGTGTTGCTTTAACTGTATTGACGTTTTTTCTTTTACTGATTCCAAAGTAGTGTCCGCTAAGGAGTCGAAATTCAAGGACTGTGCGTCGATTGAATGTATCGTTGATCGCGATAGGGTATCAGCTACTATATTGTCAGCCCCTTTTACATAGCGGATATCCGACGTATATTAGGAAATATAATCCAATTATTGGATATCCTTTGGGGTATATTTGTCCGACTTGGCGTGCAGAGCATAAATTAATGGTTTATGATCTGTATAGACCACAAAATTCCGTCCTTCCAAAAGATGACGGAAATGACGGATTGCCAAGTATATTGCCAGTAATTCCCTTGAAAATGCACTGTACTTTTTCTGGGATGAGTTTAGCTTGACTGAAAAGAACGAAATAGGTTTTTTAGCATCTCCCTGTTCCTGGTGAAGCACAGCCCCTATGGAGTCGCCTGATGCGTCTGTTGTCAGTGTGATCATTGAGTCATCATCGGTTATATATGATAACTTCGTAAAGTTGGCAAAGGCGTCTTTGGCTCTGTGAAAAGCAGTCAGTGATTCGCCTTCCAAGGTAATCTTTTAGTTCTTCTGACGCTGTTGTTGCAGTAAATCTGTGAGGGGAATCAGAATCTGGGAACAACCAGGAATGAACCTCCGGTAGTAATTAATGAGGCCTAAGAATCGGCGTAACTTCTGGAGTGAAGTTGGTTGTGAGAAATTTGAAATAGATTCTATTTTCTCAGGTAAGGGCGTTATTCCCTTTTCATCAATGACATGCCCAAAAAATTTAAGTGAGGGCACAGCAAAAATACATTTCTCTGCGTTAATCTTAAGGCCAAAATGCTGTAGACGCTAGAAAACTTGTTCAACGTGATGACGATGTTCGGTCTTGTTTCTACTGGCGATCAGGACGTCATCAATATAGGAAAAGGTGAAAGGTAAACCTCTCAGCACTTCGTCTATAAGCCGTTGGAAAGATTGTGCGGCGTTCCTTAAACCAAATGGCATTCTCACAAATTCGTATAAGCCCAAAGGGGTAGTTATTGTTGTTTTATGGATGTCTTCCTTGGCCACTGGTATCTGGTGGAATACTTTCACCAGATCAAGTTTGGCGAAGACTGTGGCGCCCTGCAGACCCACTGCGAAATCGTGCAAGTGCGGGGTAGGGTATTTATCCGGAATTGTAGTAGCATTCAGCTTCCGGAAGTCGCCACAAGGTCTCTAAGCTCCTGAGTCCGGTTTTGAAACCATATGAAGAGGAGATGAGTAAGGACTCGAAAAAGGTCTAATTATACCGAGGTCCAGCATGTGCTGAAACTCGGCTTTCACCAGTTTATATTTATCAGGCCTCAATCGCCGTGAAGATGAATGCGTGGGTGGGCCCGTAGTATAAATATGGTGCTCAGCATTGTGATGAACGGTTTCTGTATACCGGAATGGTGTTGTAATTTGTGAATATTTTTGTAACAGATCCTGCATTCCGTTGGCTTCAGGTAGAGTTGCGCTGATACATGTGCTCCTATAGATAGATGTAATTCCTTTCCTTGTAATGTTGGTCGTTTTATCCTCCAAAGAAAGGGAAGACATATTAACGGACAAGTTAAAGTGGGCGAGAAAATCCGCTGCTAGGATTGGGGTTCGAACTTGGGCTATCGTGAATACCCACGGAAAAGATCGCCTAAATCCCAGATTTAGGGTTAACGAGGTTTCACCATATGTCTGGATTGAAGATCCATTCGCCGCTTGTAACGTATAATCTGTCTTTCTAGTCAACATATTAGGCTTGGCTGGTATTACACTAATTTGTGCCCCAGTATCCACTAAAAACAAGTAGCCGGAGTTCTCATCTCGGATGTAAAAGAGACGACTTTTTGGCATCCCTCCGGCAGCAAACGTCTCTATTTGTTGCTGGGATAGTCGTTTCCCGACTGCTGTGTGTTATTATCTTTAGCCGCGTTCATGTCGAAGTTACACGGTTTCGTACAATGCCGCGCTTGTTGTCCGTATTTAAAATGATACCAACAGGTATTAAATATAGGCCTGCTTCTGGATGTGGAACGGGATCTTCGCCTAGTATGATGTGATGAACGTGGTCGTCTAGTGACTGGGAGAAAACCAACCTGTTGGAAGTGTGGTGAGATTGATCAACTGGCCCCTTCCTTCGAAGAGAAGAAAGCCGCTGTTGCACCGCCCTCAGTCGGCTAAGATCCTCTTCAGACTGCCGTTACGAGTGCCGCCAATCCCACAGCCCGAAGCAGCCTCAGGAAACTACCGTTAACATCTGTGCTGGATCTTGCTGTTCCCGATATCCCTTTGTTTAACAAAGGGAAGGAGGGAAGGTAGGTTGTGTGTAAGGGAAGAGGGAAGGTCCATACAGGTCCTCGATTTCCTAAATGTGTCGCAGCTAAAGAGGTGAACAACCTCACTCTCCTCAATCACAAGGGTGCGTCCTCACCACTTGTTCCTAGACGGAAAACGAATCGTTCTGGGAAAAGATACAGAAGATCCGCCAACTGAAGGCGGATCTTGAGAAGGGGCTGTCCTCTCCAATATCGCCTCCTGCACCACCTTCACCTCCTACATCTCCAACCTCTAACTTCTCTTCACTCTCTGCACCATCTCCAGCATCATCACCACCAACGACTGTCCGCCCGTCATCCTCTGCCATGTTTTCTCAGTCTAGCAAGCAAGCGTCTCCTTCATCGAGGGCTCACTCGTCTTCTTCGAAGAAGAGGACCCCTGATGTAGTGAAAAAATAAAGAATAAAGAGACAGTGCCGCGCCAGGAAATCAGCCGTGTCAGAGGATCAGGCCACGTAGGCTAAAGAATATGACAATAGGATAAAAGAATTTCTGGTTCTTCTGTCCATGAAGAATTGGATTTGGAGGGACACACAAACATTCTCAATGCGCAACGGATCCTTACGGTCATCGAGACAGGAGAAGTATAATGGCGGATATAGAGCATGATAGACGAGGCAGCCAGGATGGTTATAACAGACAATGAACAATTACGCAAGTAACATTATTTTTGCTGCAATGTGGGGATTTGGGCAGCATATTCCACGACGGCATCATTAAAATTGGTATAGGTATTAGGTCCGTTGGCGTCCTTACTCCAGCAATGTTAATTATGTTCACTTCGCGATTTTTCAGCGTCTCGGGGTGTATGTTTGTTGTTTTCAGGAGACCCATCTGATTGCGAGCGATTACGAGGATCTGTCGAAGAGGTTGCACCTCTATTCAACGTATTTTGATAGTCGCTCCAGAGGAATTTTGTGGCTGGACAGCAGATTTTTGACGGTGTCGTGTGCTCTTGTGTTTGCGAATCCAGATGGCAGATTTGTGTTCGAGACGCTGCCATAAAAAGTAAGACGCTTCACTTCATCAGGGTTTATGCGTCCAAAAACAATCCGGATCGGACCGACTTTTTTTTTTTTTGCGGGTCGAGCCGTTTTTGACGATCTCGGCAAGTAGTTTTAGCGGGTGATTGGAACGCCGTCCTTGATCCCAATATAGATTATAGTGGTCATTTGCTGCTGATTATAGTCGTTGCTTCAATCGAGATAGATTAGCAGCGAAAACGACAGCCAAATCTAGATTGGAGAGTGTCATTATATTTGGAGATAGTGGGGACGCAGTCGTAGCTAAGATCGAGCTGGCCTCCTTCGTTATCAAGAAGGGGCAAACTCTAGTAGTTAGGGCTCGTTTAAAGAGAATGTATTCCGAGGCGATAAACATGGCCACTAAACCGCGGCAAGAGGAATTGAGTAGAGCATCTGATTGTCACATCCCAAGTGTCTTATTGCTGGATGGACGACGAGTGACCTTTTGCTCTTTTTTTTCAGGAATTCGCCACTAGGGAGTCCAGACTGAGTCCTCCTCAGTTCGATAACTATTTAGCCGATTTTCACCGTTTCGATATGGCTGGATGCGATGTGGGTACAATGGGGGAGGAAATCTGGGAATGATGATTTGATTGGCGAGCTCAGGCTTACAAATCAGCAGTTTCGTTCCATTTAGCCTTGGGCGCCCGGGTTGAAATATCTCAATAACGAGGCATCACTCACTTGGCTGGTGTTGCAAGGGGCTCTCTGGATTGGCAAAGAGCTTTACGCAGCGAGACTGACGTCTTCGCCCAAGGTAATTGGGGTGAGTCCATTGGACACGCCTTCCTTCAAGGCAGTGTCGTGCACTCGCCGATTGAAGTTTACATGGTCCGCGTCTTAGATGGAAAATTCTTTGTCCTAGAAGCCAGAAAAAAGAAAAAATATTTTTTCTTTCTTTCGTTTCGAGACTTGCATTATTAAACCAAATTAATTGAGATTTTCTGTCGCAGTGTTGATGTTTTGGGCGTGGGGCGATCAAATATTAACATAATTTGATTTAGTTTTGTAGATATTCTTTCATTGAATAAAATCATTGGGGTTTAGAATTTTTCCTCTCCCCACAAAATTGTATATATAAATAATAGATTAGGTGTAAATTGAGATTAGGTGTCATTGAGTAAACGGGGCATTTTGGTGACTATGGTGCGACTAGTAGATTTGATGTTGTGGTGAATAGAATATTATATGTACGGATGTGTCAATGAATGAGACTAGCTAGATCTACGTTAAAACTAGAGAAGACCAGCGTTCACTACCCACTTTGTGGCACATTTTGTATTTTATAAAAATAAAAATTCCTAACACAATTGGAACCAACACTTATCAGTGATCGATTCACCGAATTTCGTATGGTCAACGGCACCAATTATAGCCCGAACCCTGGCTGTAACGACTAGACATAACCTGTACTGGCGCTGGTCACCAAATACAGCACAACTGTTTATGTTTCGAATATCATACCGGAGGTGGGGGTGGGGGTCTACGCTTCGGCGAAGGCGGCTTGCATTTGGTGCAATCAGATTCGCTGGTTCATTCCTTCACGCGAATTCATATCGTACAGTGGATTTCATTCGTTGTGTACCTACGAAAAATTAATGTTCAACGCAGTCCTTTATCCACCACTGATAGGTATATTTACCCGACTTTCTCACTAAGGCAGGATGTGACACAAAGTCGTTTTAACGTAGGAAGCCCCATACACATACGCGACCTCTGTGCTGCCGCGGGGTTTGAATCACCGGAGCAGAGCAACTGCCGTGGCTTTTGTTGATCTGGGCTATACTTATATCGTACCGTTTCTTCAACAGTGGGCGATCTTGCTGGAAAAGGTGTAAACTTGCCAACAGAAGAAACGACACTGTTGAAAATTCATCAACAGTTTATTTAAAGGTGAAATTTTAAAATCGTACAACAGCTAGTGGGAGACTGTTTTGTCCCAATTACTTCTTTTCTACCCTTATGACCCTGAGAGATGTATTTTTTATTAAGAAATGTGGAAGTGTGAATGACTTCTACGGCGATTTTTCTGTAATACATGGTGTGTGAATCTGACCAAAGTAATCTCTTTCCAACTGACAAAGTCTCTCAATACAAGCAGCACAACGTTCGCAAGCAAAAACCTGTTTATTCACTCTCGCGTAGTGTGTTTTATGCCCAGCTGAGCTCGCAAAAAACTTACATACGCCCAGCCTCTCTCACCAATTCAAACTCCGAGACTGCGTCTTTCTTGAATTAAAGTGTCAAGGCGGCCATATTTCTTTTTCCTTTCCTTTTCTTCAATCGTTTTACACGCAAGGCATATACGTACTCGCTTTGCCACACGAAATAAGTCATCTTCTCTTTTACACTCCTCCCTGATCTCCTGATCACATAAATGGCGCAGAGATGGCAGTCGCCTTCGTCGATTCCTTCAACATAAAGGTGGATGGGTACCGCTCGTCTCTTCTGCTTTTGTGCCCACTTGGTCTCTTTCGTTATTGGCATCACCATTGTTGTCTTCAGCATCTGTTTCTGCTGGTTCCGTAGATGAATGATCAGGCCCTGCGCTAAAAAGGCGGTGAATATGAGTCGCTTTCAGACGACTTATCACTGCCGTCATTTTCAGACGATGCGGGAAGAGGTCTCTGATATGGTGTGGCGTTCTATTGATGAGAACTGAATTGCGTTGAACATCGACCATGTGGGGTCTTTACCCATACCGCATCTCCCACTCTCTAGATTCCAGGATCTGTGTGCTCAAGTGGTGATGCAACATCGATACCCTTTATGCGGACTTGGTAGTTGTATATAGAGTTAGCTGGTGCTGACGAAACTGTTGCGTCATCTTTTGGCATGTTATACCAATATAACGCCTCCATATTGGAATATCCCGACCGAGCAGCGGTACGCTTGATGGTGCAATGGCATCTCTCCACGATGCCATTCTCTGATGGTTGATAGGCACACCGAAATCTAAGTCGGACGCCCCAGTTCTCTGCAGACATCGCGAACAACTCCCCACAGAATGCTACGCCATTATCGATGAGCAGCTCAGCAGGTGGCCCTCTCTCGCAGAATAGCGACTCCAGCTGTAGCATGATGCTGGCAGTGTACTGATGTAACGGTCGCCAGATGGAAAACCGACTAGGGCCACAGTTTATTAGTCCATCCCCACCCTGCTCCAATTCTCGCACACATCCAACCGTCCAGATTTCCAATGGAGTGGCGCTGGATCAATGGAGTGGCACACTTCGCACTTTCCAACCATCACTCGAACAGCTACCTTGGAGACCTCAGGGTGGATCCGTCTTACAAAATACAAGGTACGCTTCACACCAGAATGCCCACTACGTCGATGGATGGCTTGAATGTGAGTTGATTGCTGCTTTTCTATAGATGCAACAAACTCTGGTTCCGTGTCTTTCCAAACCGCACCCAGCCAGCATTTAGGCACTCTAGTCGGCTCAGTTTGCATGGGATCTGACAAGCTCTATGTCAATAGTCAATTTATATTCCTTCAACAGTTCCTTGATTGTGCTGAGCCGATGTCTTATCAACATTTCTGTCGCCACCTTCGTGCACTCTCGAGACTTCCAGGCAGCGTATCAGAATCCTATTTATATACACACGTTGAGTCAGTCGCTCTCCATTGCAGTGAGCACTGTTGATGCCTCTCAAAATTGCGTCGTGATCTGCCAAGTTATGCTTGTCTTCGCGTTTTGATCGCAGCAACAGGCATCCTCAAACAGAGATTCACCACTTTCCTCAACGACGCCAGTGGCTAACGAGCTTGCAACAACCCACTTCACGTCTATCACGGTAAAGATGTCCGTCAGCATCTGAGTCAGGGGTGGGTCACACACCTCATCGTCCCAGCTTGTCGTCACAGAATTCGTGCGCCATTTTATGAATGCAGTTGTGACGCGGAGCCAGCCACATACTTCGCACACAGGGAGATGCTCCGACGAGTGAACGCGTTAGGTAACAGTGTGAGGTCACTCCCACGACTCTATTGCAATTTGCCCCGTTCCTCCCAGACACGTAAATCCAGCACACGGGTTCCACACTCTAAACGCTCTGGATCCTTACTTGTTAGTTCAAATTGCTGAAGATGTGCCCGTACACGTGCCTCAGTGCATATACTTTCATTGCCAAATATGTCATCGATGTATGAGGACGTGGCCCTCTGAATTGTCTTGTCTCGTGCGACCACGGCATTCACAATTGATCGCATGATTAGCAGTGCCACGTTGAGCCCAAAACCCAAACGGGTAAGGCAATACCTTTTCCCGTCTATCTGCACTGTTTGAAAGGGTCATAACAATTTGTCAACATGTATCTGCAAATAGGCACGGCGTAAATCCAGCACAGCGATGCTTCGTGTCGTAATTCACTCATTATTTGCAAACATCTGCATCAGCAGTGTGCGCGTCAACATACTAATTGAGCTTCCGATAATCCACGACTGGGTGTACCTTCTGTTTGTTTTTTCTGCGACACTGCCATTAGAGGGATCAGGCCCTTGGGGAGAGCCAAGTTATTTCTCGGGATACGGAAGTAGCTAGCCATTATCCATCCAGGTTTGTAGTTCACGAGTATACTCCTCTCTGAATGGCTTTGGTACTGGATACTCTATTCTCTGGTTCCTCAACGCGGGTGGTCTGGTCACCAGGCTACTTCCAAGACACAACCCAGATCTTCCTATTCTGGTCATATTCCGCATGGAAGCCAGGCTCGTTAATAGTGATGGCCGCGCACAAAGGTCGCTCAAGTTGAGGAAAGCTCACAGCCGTTGCTGGACACTCATACTCCACCCAACTTTTTGATGATGTCACATCCGAGTAGCAGATTGAAACCAAGCAATTTTCCGTCCACAACCAGAACCTCAACATTGTTAGGGGGCCTGTTGTTCACGTCAAGTTGAATAAGTCCTACCCCAGAGCACCTGAGGGTCCTTGCACGTCCATTTCTTTCCTCTTCCAAGAGCGACAAAGCGGTCTGCTTACGAGAACAGTCTGTGTCTAGCAAGGCTAAACTCTTGATTCCATTGATGCGTACAGCAATTATGGGTAGCACCCACTTCGTATGGGAGTAGACTGGCGCTGAGTCATATTCCCCTGGATCGTTTCCTGGGCAATTGCGGACTACATGGCCTACTGCGTTGCACGTGTAACATCGCATCCGAGGTGTCCGCCTTTCGGTATGTGGTTCTTTGCAAAATGATTGGGACTGTTGCAACTATAGTATGTTATGGAGCCACGTGGATCCCCAGTAGGAAGCTTCCTAGCCTCATCCTATATTGATCGCACCGCCACAGCTGCCAGTCCCTCCTCCAGTTCTTCATCTTTCATAATTGCTCATGCTCGAGTCAACGGCTGGTTGATAGACAATTCGTCTATCCGGGTCGAAGCGCGAAGGAGATGTTTAACCCGATCTGGTAACCCTCGCACGAAAGTACATGCCCCGCCACGGTCACTCATTCTGTCGAACAGGAAGGTTTTCGTAACTCCGCCAGATAAACATCCACTTATTCTCCGGGACGGAGCCGCCGCTCAGCGAATTGCTCATAAGCCAAAAAACCATCCGTAGCAAAACATGTGTACACTGCGGATTTTATTTGGCTGAAATCCTTTTTTCTGCATCTCTCAGCTGCTGGTGGACAGCAAAAGACTGATTAGCCTTAAAGAGACTACGTTTTCTGGGTCTTTTACCTGGCACATCTTACAGATCAGCTCAGCCTTCTCAATCCATTCGACCACAGATGGTTCAGACGCAGAGCCGTCGAACTCGGGAATGAGTTCGAGGTCAAACTTCCCTTCCGTCATTTTTGTCGAAATAGCTTGTGTGAAACTGACCCAAGTAATCTCTTTCCAACTGACAAAATCTCTCCGTACAAGCAAGCACAACGCTTGCAAGCAAAAAACTGTCTATTTTCTCTCGCGTAGTGTGTTTTATGCCGAGCTGATCTCACAAAAAAATTGCATACGCCAACCTCTCTCACCAATTCTCCTAGCTCTGAGATCGTGTCACGCAAAGCATATACGTGCTCGCTTTGCTACACGAGTTAAGTTGTCTTCTCTTCTACACACGGTTTCCTCCGCGAGCGTTCGACGAGGCACGCGCTCTAACGATTTCTGGGCAGTTGTCTGATTTCTGCGCGTGCAACACGAATATTCCTGATAGGTTGCTAAATAAACAACCCTTAAAGTTACCGAAATTCCTGATTTTTGGCAAACTCATTAATCATGTCATAACAACTTTCTTGGGGTTATAGAGATAGGCCGGTGGTATAAATTATGCTGAATCTTACTTAATTTGAGTTTATACTGTTCCGAGGTTCTTCTTTTAGGTATTTTACGTTTTTAAATGAATATTTTAAAATCGGACTTTTTTCCCATCAGACTCCAATCTGATTAACTACTCTCCCATATTTTTTCTCTTTTCATTATCTTTACTCCATCGCTCAGAATTATTAAGTTTCTCAGTACTTGAAGTCACTAAACGCTTTCCATACACTAGTATGCCTCCGTCGGGACCACTGCCCTGTTACATCCTCTCCTCGCCTTTTAGTATAATGCCACACCATTGACAGGCTGTGGCTTTTGTTGATCTGCGCCATATTTCGATCGTACTGTCTCTTCAACATCGAGCGATATTGCTGAAAAAGATGTAAACTTGCCAACAGAAGAAACGCTGTATTAGCACAACATTTATCAGTGGACGAAATCAGTCAATGCTGATTACCTCCCAGCATGAAGATGCTTACACACTATAGAAAAAATCAATAAAACAGCCAAGTGACAACACCAAGAATACTCTGTTTTGTGTTGGAACATCAACCGGTTGAGATGTTTCTAGCTGTGTTGGGAACTTATTTGGTCGCATATTTCCTCCATCAATAAAGTTGTTAATGCCAATAAATACCCTTCACTAGTTGTTAATAGCACTCTACTACAGCAACAATTCGTAAATACTGCAGTAAAACTTTCAGTTATCATGCCACCTACTATAAATATTTTTGGTTATCTTCATTGTAGATGCAGTGGATATAAACAAGGATGCTCCTATTCATTCTGCACAATGGATTTTAAATTTATGGGCCTCTTACAATAATTCATCTACCTAAGAGTATACTCCGATTACTTGTGATTATATATGCTGATGATACAACGGTATATGGGCGCGCCACCAAAACTCTAGATTACCAGGACTTGGCAACTAATTTCTCCTCTAACTCTGGGAAAAAATACTGGTTAGTCACATTCAAAGCCTCGAAAACCAAACTAGTGACATTCCATCATCGCCGATCGGACCCAGAATTTTCATCAATCGCGATTAACAGATGTTCCCTTGTGGAATCCCGTGCAGATTGGAGTCTGATGGGAAAAAAGTCCGATTTTAAAATATTCATTTAAAAACGTAAAATACCTAAAAGAAGAACCTCGGAACAGTATAAACTCAAATTAAGTAAGCACCTATTGGGATTTAAAATTAACCCAGACCACAAGCGGAACTCTTACATCTGATCCATTGCTAAAGTTGCTGGAAAAATGGTCGGTTTCCTGTACGGGTCCTACTGTTATCCTCTACCTTTAGAGATCAATCCAAAAATGGAATACTGCTGCCAAATATGGTCAGGAGCTGCCCAGCCTTCACTTTCCAGTCTCGATAGAGTTCAAAAGCGTCTCTGCGTCCTTGTGA